AATGGTATTTATACATTTTTACAACCAATACGGACAGCTAACAGTATTTGAAATAATTGGTCATAATAGTCAATAACAAAATGCGTGGGAAATGATGATATACCACTTATGCGAGATTAACAGTCGTTAAGATAATTGAACAATAACAAAGTGCCTGGGAAATGATGACATACCACTTATGCGAGATTAACAGTCGTTAAAATAAATGAACAATAACAAAGTGTGTGGGATCCTATCACTAGGTCACCAGTTCTCACCATTAGTGGATTCCGAGGTTTCGCTCTTAATAAAGACGTGTACATCAAGCTACCCTATATGGGGCATCATAGCAGCTTGATAACTAGACTAAGATTGAACGCTACTGTTAAAAAGACTTTTTATGCAGCTATCATAATAATTGAGAATGTGAAGCCAATATATCGATCTAAACCCTTTGAACATGCGAAAAATAATGTCACATCCCACTGTATTTACCAATTTGAATGTACGCGTGGACACACAAGGATGACTCATCGATCTCTGCAAATAAGGACTGGCTTCAGAGCATATTCCTGAATGTCTCCAGAGGCACATAGAATCCCCAGAAATCACTAATGGTGAGAACTGGTAACCTAGCTCCTCTATTGAGAAACATATTATAGAGACAGGATACAAAATTGATGTTTACACGTCTTTTAAAGCTATCTATAAAACGTGTATTGGTAAACATTTGTTAGCCTCTCCACAAAAAGATACAGACAATCGGGAATTTAGATCAAGTAGGATTCATTATTGATACACATCCATTTTTTATTTACTTGATCAGGACTTGCAATGCATCAACTAATAAACATCACACCTTCACGTCTGTTCCAACTTTTGGGATTCTCCCATATATATATATATATAAATATATATATATATATATATATATATAATTATGTGAGAAAATTAAAACAATTAATGCCTATGATAAATTTGAAAAAGGCATTTAGAAGACAAATTTCACGAGATCATATCTTCATTTCGTAGTTTCTTTACAACCGCTTGATACAACTAACATGGTTCACAATATTAAAATAAAATAAAAGGCATGACAATTACTCAGTTATATAAAAAACAAAAGTACATACTACTAATGACCAATCATCACATTTAAATAGGTCAAGTAGTCAGTTCATGGTAGGCGAAGGTTGAAGTCTATTGTGTTGTTTGTGTACACATAGTTTAGGATGTATGTGACTAATCCCCACAGTGATTCAATCACCTTTAATAACCAATCTTGAATTAGAGTTATGTGACTAAATAATTGAAGTAATATTGATTTTGTGACCTGACATTAATAAGTGCTTTGCAATCGATGATGCTGGTAATGGATTTCTATTCAGATTAATAATTGCATTGGGATTTTCTATATGTTTTAATAACCATTTGGGAACATGTTCTTTTCGACTGCGACATTGGAACATTATATTGGTTCTACCTAAATAGGTGTTACCGCAACTGCAGGTGAACTTGTAGATACAGTTTGAAGTAAAGTCCACAGAATGTTGTCCTTTTATCGTAGGTACAGAGATCGAAAATGTTCGGCATGTGAGGGAAAGAGATGCGGCGTAGAATGTGTGCGCTTGATGGCTGACCGAAGTGTCTTTGAGCTAGCTGTCAACTGGATAATCTGATCACCCTTAAATGGTAGGTTAATAAAGATAGATAACTTTCTTTGGTACAGAAGCTGTCTTTTCTAGATGTGGTCTATCCTAACTTTGGATTAATCACATACAGCCTAAACTATGTGTACACAAACAACACAATAGACTTCAACCTTCGCCTACCATGAACTGACTACTTGACCTATTTCAATGTGATGATTGGTCATCAGTATGTACTTTTATTTTTTATATAACTGAGTAATTGTCATGCATTTTATTTTATCTTATTGTTGTGAACCATGTTAGTTGTATCAAGCGATTGTAAAGAAACTACAAAATGACGATATCACCTCGCGAAATTTGTCTTCTAAATGCCTTATACAATAATTAGTCTACTTTTGTTTAACACTGTAAACAGTGTATACTTTTGCATCAGATTTTATGTGATGACGTTCGACTAAATCTCATATTCATAGATAACTGAATATGAAAAGTGCAAATAGGTGCATGCAGTATACAATAGTGTGTGTGTGTGTGTGCCTGTGTGTATCCGGCAACAATTGTAAATCATTTATTAGCCTCTCCACAATAAGATATAGACAATCGGGCATTTAGATCAAGTATGATTGATTAGTGGTGTATATCCATTTTTATTTATTTATTTATTAATCAAGTATATCGTATTCTGGAACACAGGAACGCTGGGACACAGCTTGGCTATGCAGAGGAAGATGGGCATGTAATTAAAAGTTAGTTCGTGGATGGTAACTAGCAGTGGAATCCAAGATATCGCGCATTTCGTCCTATTTGGGACTCGTCAGCTAATGGATGTACCTGCATTCGGCAGTGAGTGATGAATTTCCTGCCAACTAACTTCTAATTACATGTCCAGACATCGTCTAAGCATCTGCACAAGAAGCCGACACGTCAGCCTGAGACCGAGCATTTCGGTTCAATTAATCAATCGACGGGAAAATGTAAAATGGAATTAAATAGTATCTATAGATCTGAAGACAAATTTTGATCGCAGTACGTGCAATTTTTTTTATTATACATGTTGATACCTGTTTCATGACTCCTATATGATTGGACAAATATATTTTGAAAACAAGAGCTGTCCTTTTTATGTATAAACCTCTGTTATTTCAATTTTGATTATTTTCCTTGAAGAAGTCTGGTCGACTTCCACGAACAGAGGAAACGTTGGCATTATTCATTTTAGCAATATATTATGTCTAAACATAACTACTGGATTTAATAGCACTTAGAGGGCAGATGAAGAGGAGATGAAAAAATTATGGACAGGTGTAAAACGTGTTGGAAATGATGGCAGAGAAGCGAGTGTATTGAAGATATACTGCTGTTGCCGCTGCTGCTGATGTCGCATGTTCTACTCGCAAGGCAATGGAATGAATAGTGATAATATTGGGATAATATAGAATCATTTCATAAGCCAAGTCCAGTTTTGAAGAAGTTGACAAGATTCTAAAATTACAACATTATTTCATCATTGGTACTTCGTACCTATCCAATAACAGCAACAAGTGCCAATCACCCACCATCAACGAGAGGAATTTACAAGGAGTCACATCATCCACCTTACCTATCTGCGGCAGCATTGTCCCAATTACCAGCGGCAAGGATGAGGATATTCAAGTCAACAAGGATGGAAGAAGCAAAATAGGACTCCATTACTTTGAAATTACTTTCTATAGTTTGGTTTGTAAGGGTTAGTTTTGTTTTTTTAAGAGTTGATCATGGATTGACATCAGTTAGAGAACCATTGAAAACCAGCACTGGACAGCTGTTTTATCCTAGTTTGGGTATCATCGGCAGTACTCACCCACCACAGTGGGATTCGAACCCAGGACCTTCCGGTTACAAGGCTAGGGAGCTCGTATACCATTCAGCTACTGGGACTCGAATCAATGGCCAGCCCATGAATTCTAACTTCTACCAATTCGTGATTTAGCGCCACCCCAACCAATCTCGTCGGTGGGACATCCATCCTCACACGTGACATCTGGATGGACCTCACTAGTCACGAATTCCTACTAGAACTCCAGGAAACTCCATCCTGTAGCAAGTCACTAGCGAGCATCAGATTAATTTTCTATAGTTTGGTTTGTAAGGGTTAGTTCTGTTTTTTACGAGTTGATCACTTTGAAATTAATGTGGATATCTACTGCCCTCACAGCACAACAAAGAAGATCCGGAATTTCTAGACTAGTATGAAGTCAATCAGTGCTTCTATTCGATTCTGGAACTCGACACCCACACCGCTGAAAACTTCCATCAACAGTTACCTTCGCTGGCTCCATCATACTGAAGATCAGATTAACTACAAAGCGTTAGTAACAAGAAATTCTGGCAACGAACCAACCAAGTAGCTGTATCACCTAACAAGCACACTTTATGAAGTGGAGACAGATTGGACATTGGCTGAGGAGACCAATAGGTGATATTTTGTACCGCAAATGTATTATTATTATTATGGTTCCCTTGGGTTCCTAGTGGAACATAGGACTTCAACTGCACGTCTCCACTTGCTTCTGTCTTCTGCTGTACTCTTCACATGCGTCCATGTTAATCCATACTGTCTCCACACGATCTCCTCCATGTCACCCTTGGACGTCCCACTCGCCGCTTCCCTTTCGGGTTCCACTCGAGCTATGGCCTGACGTGCAATGTCACCCAGCGACCTCCTCAGCGAGTGTCCAATCCATCTCCACTTTCTCCTGCAGATTTGTTGGGCGATTGGTTCTTGTTTTGTTTGTTCCCATAGTTTCTTGTTGGTTCTTGTTCTTTCCGGCCATCTGATCTTCAGTAGTATAGAGCGAAGACAGCTATTGATAAAGGCCTGCAACAGGCTGTTGGAAATATTCTTTGTGACCCGCCAAGTTTCTGATTCGTATAGAAGAACTGACTTGACTTGCTGTTGTTTAATTCCTTTACATCCCCAGTGGAACATAGGTCTTGAGGCTGTTGCTTTTAAGTTCCGGTAGCAGTGGTGTTTATTTTTATGGGGTGAGACTGCTAGCCTCATACTCAACCTTCCCTCCAACTACCGACTTAGCGAGGTTTAGGGGTGCGTCAGCCGAGGATCAGTCCCCGAACCTTTGCCGTGGTTGGCGAACGTTCTACCGGTGAAAACCTTCGATGTAGGAGGCGGGCAAATGAGAAACAGCGTATTAAGCGTTCCAGAAAAAAGAACTTATGAGCAATCATTGAGCCAGTTAATAAAGGACTACCGAGTACAAGATGAAATGGAGGTGTGCCGTTGAAGTCCCAGATTCCACACTCGGAACCCAAGGAAATAATAATAACAATAAATGGTACTTTTATAAGATCAAACAATCACATTAAAATTACCCTTTCTTTCCAATACGATTACATGTGATTTGTATACCAACACAGACAAGACAATAGGCTGTTAACAAATTGATAACTTTAGAAAATTCTTTTGATAAACGATTTGGATCAGTCAAGTGACGTCGACGAACTGGTAGATCATAGAATAATTCATTGACGCATACAGTTGTGCCTTGTGCTCTAGCCATACATCGTCGGCTAATTATTTGTCCAGACGAGTCAAATTCAAGTTTTGTACCCATTTTTACACCTGCGGCACAAGTGTGTATAGTAACTTTTCTAAAGCAAAAATAAAAACACAACAAGAAGAAGAAGACAAATCATCCTTATTCAAGTATAGCTTTTGTAGGGATTTGATTGATTGGTTATAGGATTTCATCATGAGCTGACATCGGTTAGAGAGAACCATTGGAAAACCAGCCAAAGGGAGTACTGCCAGACAGCTGTTTCGTCAGCCTAGTTTGGTACTCCGCTTCAGAAGTACGCACCCACACCGCGGGGTTCGAGCCCAAGACCTTCTGGTTACAAGGCTAGCGAGCTCGTAGACCATTCATCAGTCATTGGGACCCAATCCAATGGCCAGTGCATGAATTCCAACTTCTGACAATTCACGACATAGATATCAGTCAATGAAATCTACAACAGTTAGTTTAATCCAATTATGTAAGAAGGTGTAGACTTCCTGACTGGTTGGGGTCCTCAGGACGGTAAACACCAATGGTTGGAAACAATTGGTGACATGGCTCAAAGTCGTTCTTAATGGATGGTGCAGATGCATCCACTCCTTGTGACTTATGATTTCCAATGAAACTATATTGTTCTTCGTTATTACTATACCTTTGTCTCACACCTCTGTTTACTGTCTCTATTATGCATTTCTCCTACTTTCTTCTGTTGCTTTATGTGCTACATGGAGGGAGTGTGGCGACTTGAACAGCCGCACATATGTGCAAAGTTCTATGTCGAAAACAGACAGACAGACAGACATAGACATAGGGCGACCGCCATGTGAAACATAAAACCATTATGTCATCATCGCTTTAAGGACGGGTTGTATTTTATTTGCGGTTGATGGTAGTTGTAATCTATTGCATCTGATCTTTTTACGTATGCCATAGAAATTCGACAGAACAAGATCTGTCCAACACACTTGTTCAAGAATGGAAACCTTCGAGCATCCCCCCATTTATTCACCTATTCAAACACAAACTTGGTGTATTAGGAGGGCGTCAAAAGATGAGCCACACAAAATCTCATAATTTGTACGACCACTTGGATACTACCCAGACGCTCAGATCAAAAAGCGAGTGGTTGTCTTAAGGAGTTACCCGCCTCGTAAACCTTCGACTTGAAGTCTGATCCTGACACAAGGTGGTGGAGTACCATCAGGAGCTAAGTTCCCACTGTTTCTGGTGACCAAAAGAGTTTCATACACTATTATTATTTGTGTAAAATTTGGGCACTGTGGTAGTAAGTAATTCCATATTAGTTTGTTTATTAGATGTATCACACAATGAGTGCAACAGTATTATTTACTGGATGACAAGGTTTCGAACACAATTTATTATTGTTTATAATCATATCAATTGTAATCACACGACTTTGACACTTGAGTTTTATAGTTTTCTTTGTTCTATCCTATTTGTCGTCGTTGGGGTAGTAGAATTTTCCAGATGTCTGCGTAGACAGGTGTTGAATCATTCCTATTACATGTTTTTGTAGTTGATTCGATAAATAAAGCTTCTGTTATCAATCTCTCCCTCCATCATCCTGTTACATTAGATTTTAAAACTGTCATCCTATCCCATCTTATTGTATGGTTGTGTGTGACTGCATGTAGTGCTATAGCTGAACTATTCTCTAGATTTCTTATTTTGTTTGGACCAACCAATCCAGATTTTGCTAAGTTTCATACACTATTCGATTGGATAGGACTATGGCGCCTATATGTACGATAGATCTGGAATCAAGGTTTGTTTAGTCCATCTAGGTAGACAAGCATGTCCAGACGTTCGCATTCGCTCTTTCACTTTTGTGAGGAACACCTCCACCCACCGCGTGAAGGTACTGCATGGGACTTATCTGGCAGAGGCAATGGACGTGTGGCCGCATAGGAGCAATTCGAGAGGAAAACTGAAGCCTACCCAACCTCGGCCGTACCAAGTCGTTCATGAGGGCTTTTGAGCATGGTGTATATTTTTAGTACACTTAGTATAGCACACTTTTCCAGAAGAAAAATTCCAGCCATTAGACCCCGAGTCCGTATCTTGCCCCATCCATATCTACTAACATCAGTAATATCTACAAATGCATGGAGATGTGAACAAAAATAGTATAAAGAACAAAACGTGTATTCAGATGAACGAGATGTGCAGTCATCTTTAATTTCACCAAATCCAGAGGATTCGGAGTAATTTGTACAGCTGATGCTAACATAGATGATGAGAACAAATATATTGATGCATACATCTGTCGCAAAAACATACATCTTTTGAAGTTTTTGAACCGGCCGGTGTGGAGGTCAGTCAATTTTAATGCCTACACTGTCTATTCTATCGCAAAGATAGTAGTTTGCGTCAAATTACCTAAAAATGAGGAAATATTAAATGGTAGGATTTCAAGACAGGAAGTAAATCCGATCGTCCCAACCGATAGCTGCTAGCTTGACGTGCTGCAAGTCGGACTTGTATATTGCAATGACCCAGCAAGCTACACTGGCTGGAACTAATGTTCCTGAAGGTCCTACCATGCCATGAAGATTGTAAGAACAACGATTGGACTAAAAGCAGTTACCAACATAGTGCAGGAATTTTTTTATCCTGTTCTAGGGGTCTGCGAGTGAAGTTGTCGGTCGGTCGGTTTTCAACATAGAACTTTGCACATATGTGCGGCAGTTCAAGTCGCCACTCACCCTCCATGTAGCACATAAAGCAAGAGAAGAAAGTAGAAGAAATGCATAATAGAGACAGTAAACAGAGGTGTGAGACAAAGGAATAGTAATATCGAAGAGCAAAACAGTTTCATTGGAAATCATAAGTCACAAGGAGTGGATGCATCTGCGCCACTGAGGACGATTTTGAGCCATGTCACTAATTTTCTCCAACCATTGGTTTTTTGCAGGCCGACCATAGATATCGGATGTGTGTCGGTAGGGGATTGAAACACGGACCATGGTCATGGTCGGCGAGAGTCCTAACCACTATGCCACCGACGCACGAGTGAAGTCGTACTGCTGGGGAACAGGGAGGTAACAGCAGTAAGCTGTTTCCCTCAGATGACCAGCATGCCAGCCAGCTATACTGTTTCTCCACTCTGGAGAGAGCGGGTTAGAAAAGCTCGACTCCAAAAATTGTACATCTTGACTTACCCCACTCACGGTGGTCCGTAGCCGGTGGTAAGTTACTAATACGGAACCAAACCAAAAAGCCACCTAAGACAGGCCGTGTGTGACCAACCTTAAGCAATTATCACCTGGACTCTTTTTCTGCTTCAGGTACCCCAAGAAAAAAAAAGAAATTCGGTCATCCGTATAACGAAATCATCAAGCCCGGCTTACAATTATCGAAAAAGTTAAAAACATGCTCCACCACAACAAGACTCAAAGTTGACCAAGTAATAAAGTCACATCTAATTTAAAGTAAGGTATATATATCTATTGCGTCAGTGTTATTATTAAACCGACGTATAAGTCCAATCGGTCACATCAGTTGCCGACAATATCGCAACGAGTTTAGTGTTTGAAACGAAGAATACTGGGCTCCAGGTGCATCCAGTTGACAAGTCCAAATTAGAATAGAACGCTCATCTGAGCTTTTATCAACAGTTTGAGTATAGCGGTACTAATTTTTATGACCATGCAAGCACAACTGTAACATTGAAAAGTCCGGAACTGGGACGAAACAGCTATCCAGTACTTTTATTGGCTTTCAATGATTCCCTACCCTAACCGAAGTCAATTCGTGATCAGACTTGAAATCAATCCAACTTTTAAGCTTTTGCGTTCTAAATGGGGGACATTAGGCTCCAAAACTTAAAGCTTTGAAGTTTCTGTAGCAGTGGTAGCAGTATGCCTTCCTCGACGGGCAATGTTAGCTGACAGGGTCAGGCTGGAAAAGAGCTAGCCAGTGGTGGTCAAACCAAAACATGGCTTCATCATTCAATGAAATCCACAACAGCTAGTTTAAGCCGGCCAACCACGTAGGAAGGTGTAGACTTCCTGGTTGGTTGGGGTCCTCGGGACGGTAAACACCAATGAAGGCTGGAGACAATCGGTGATATGACTCAAAATCGGTGTCAATTGCTGGTGCAGATGCATCCACTCCTTATGACTTATAATACCTAATGAAACTATATTGTTCTTCGTTATTAGTATTCCTTTTGTCTCACACCTCTGTTTACTGTCTCTATTATGCATTTCTTCTACTTTCTTCTCTTGCTTTGTGTGCTACATGGAGGGAGTGTGGCTACTTGAACTGCTGCACATATGTGCAAAGTCCTATTTCGAAAACAGACAGACAGTGGTATTACTCCTTTTCTTTCGAAGTGGGGTTGCTGACCACCTCACGCTAGGCCAAATTTCCCTCCTTACGGGGCTGACTACAGCTTAAAGGGGGTTAATTAAGTACGTCGACCTGGGATCAATTCGCAGACCCCTCGCGACGTAGTTGTTGGTGAGCACCGACGTATTGAAATCAACACTTAAATAAACCGGAAAAAAACAAACAAAGTAAATACATAAATAATTAGTTAAAAACTCACGCTAGACGACACAGCGAGGATAAAGCTTCCCCACGAAAACCATAGGTTTCCACTGAACTTAAATCATCGAAGGTGTTCAGTTTTGAAGTACAATACTTTCCAGCTGAATTGAACCATCATAAACAAAGAATACATATTCAACACTTACTAAGACCTTCAAAATCTTCCTCTTTGATTCCACTGCCATTATCAATCACTTCAATAGAATCACTACCATGACCTCTTAACTTAATTTCTATAATCAAGATATTAAAGGAATAAAAAA